TGGAGATCCCAAGCAAACGAAGCAAACACAAAACAAAAAAACTAAAGCGAATCCCTAGAGCTGTCGACCCTCCCCCATCGACTAGAATGATAAACTCCTCAATCCCACATCTTCCAAAACCTCTTCATCACACAATAAATTAATGTGGTGGCCCGAATAATAGACACCCCAAAAGAAACGCTCAGCTTGAATAATATGTGACCGTTTAGCAAAAAAACGCATTAAAGAGCCCCATCGAATTAAAGGGGCCACCACATTACATGACACTTCAGGGGTTCAGGGGGATCCTTCTTACGAGTTTGATTGCAACAGCTACACCCGTTAATTATGTCAAGGCGCTTGATTGAGGATTTAGGATCCAGGATTTGTACAGGCAAACCCCCCACCTTCCCCGGCGCGGTCTTCGTTTCCGCCTGCAGTGGCGAGGTTTTGGGGACAGAGGTAATGGATTAGGGCATGGGGACAAGATGATTCGGAATTATGAGGGGTTACTGTCACTCACAGGCCAGATGATATGCGTCAAGGCAGGGTTTAGGGAGTTTAAGGTTTCAACTCATTCAACAGTATATCCCTCGCACACCTCATAACAACACCCCAAACCCGGCAGCTTGAACCCAGGGCCCTGGAAAAACCCTAATCATTTCCTCCGTCCCAAACCCTGTGCAGCCTTTTCGACCCCCTGCAGGCTAAATCCGGAACCCGAAAGCCAAAAGGCCAAGCCCCCTTGAGACCCAAGCCGGCAAACAATAAACGCAGACCCAACTCCGTGGTGCAGGGTTTTCGAAACCTAAACCCTACCTAAGAAGTGGTAAACAATCGTAAAAGCTGTCAATTAGAATGAAAAGAGCAGTAGGAGTAGAAGCAGCGGCAGACTCACTGGCAACCCCTAACACCCAAACCCTAAAACCCTAAACCCGTAAACCCTAAACCCAGCGCCCTAAAACCGTTTTGCCCCTGGCCTGAGCAGGCACGCTCGGGCGAACTGCGGTCACTGGAGCGACGGCAAACGCCATGGAGCTGCCAGTACCATTCAAGGCCATATTTGCAAACCTCAGTG